TGCACGAATGATACAGATATCGCCGCCGTCGCCATCTTCAGAGCGAGAAGGGGTGCGCGCGTGTGCGCGCGCGTGTGTGGGTGGGGCGTAGGGGAGGGGGGGGCGCCTCAGGGGTCGCTCGCCGCCTGGGTGTCAGGCAAGAGGGCATCCAGCTGCAAGTCCAGGTTGATGCTGGCCAAGAGGGCGACGGCCGTCGGCGATGCCTTGGTTTGTGCCAGACGCGGCAGCATCCGCGCAGCTGGGTCGGGCCAGCCAGGCGCCGGTTGCCTGCGAGGCGCGCCGGGGGGGGGGGCAAAAAAACACCTCGACCCTGCCACTTTTGATGTCGAGGATCCCGCTGAAGTCGTCGTCTGCCTGGTTCGGAAGCATGCCTGCGGCGCGCGCATGAGAAGTTGAACGGCCTTCACCTGCTACTTCGAGACGCCGGTCTCCCATCCAAGCCTGTCGATGCCATGCCGCAGTGCAGAGCGCCCACTGGCGCGCAAGTTGCCGCCGTCGTACTTCAGACCCTTCATGATCTTCAGCATATGTCACATCTGCTCCGAGCTCGCGAAGCGCACCCGAACTTTTTCGCAGTAGGAACCCGTAGGAACGATTGTCGCGCATGAGATACTCTTGCCCGCCATTTCCGTGCGCACCTGCTCGGTTAGTTCCTCACCAGGCTCGTACCTGAAACCTCCGATGCAGACGACCTTGCACCTGCACATGGAGACGGACGCGGCTGTCGCGCTGACGACAAAGCAGCTGACAGCGTTGCGGGAAGCGGTGCCGAGAAATTTGAAGCGAGTGAAGCTCAACCTCTGCGGGCCGCCTCAAGGTCGGTGGCTCTTGCTTTCCTTCAATTGGCGGAATCGAAGTCTTCACGGTCGTGAGCTCAACCTGCGAGCTCAACCTGCATGGTTGTGATTTTGGCCTCCTGTGGTGCGGTCGCCTTCTTGATCATCCCGCCCACTACGCTCCAAAAACGTGTCTGGGCCTCGTGCAATCATCTTGCTGTCCGTGTCGGGTCGCTGCTGCTGCAGGGTCGAACGGGGAGGCACCCACACACTGCCTGCGGGCTGCCTGCCCGCCAACACCCATCATCATGTCCATGCCTATCCCCATCATCGCCCACACGGGCAGGAAATGGAACGGCAGCTGCTGCACCTGTCGGGGGCCCGCGCGTGGGGGCACCAAAGAAACACATCTGGGAATGTGTAAAAAGAGCTGGGAATGAACATGAAAGAAAAACATGTGGAGACGAGACAGAGTAGGAACACGGGGGCTCTCAACCAAAGGGGCTTGAGCAAACATGGAATGGCCCTGGGAGATGGCGAGGAGGAGAAGGAGGAGGACGGGAAAGAGGAGGAGGACGGGGAGGAGGAGGAGGAGGAGGAGGAGGAGGAGGAGGAGGAGGAGGAGGAGGGGGAGGGGGAGGGAGGAGGAGGAGGAGGAGGAGGAGGAGGCGGAGGAGGAGGAGGAGGAGGAGGGAGGGGGCAGGAGGAGGAGGGAGGGGGGAGGAGGGAGGGAAGAGGGATGGAGGAGGCGGGGGGGGGGGAGGAGGGGGAGGAGGACGAGAGGCCTTTGGAGACCTCTGGATGCGGGCTCTGCTGGGTGAGCCTTCACGAGGGAGACCTCTGGAGGGGAGACTCTGGAGGTGAGCCCTGCAGGGGGCCCAGCGCCGAAGCGAATACGGCCCACGAGATCGCCACAACACTGTTCTGGTCGACCACTGACAGGACAAGAAAACCCTCAATCTGAGCAGGGACCGACCGTCCCGGCATTCCTGTAGGCCTACCGCGACATGTTCTTTGAACCCACAAATGCTCCAAGAACGAAAACCATGCTCTTAGAGCATAAACGCGATGCGTTGCAACAAGACAGCCTCAGCCAGATGTGTTCCAAGAGCGGTTCGTGCAAACCACAAAAGGCTCTCAACACATTCTTTGGTGGGCCCATAGGCAAGCCGGGACGCTTCGCCACTGTTTGCCCAGTGCGCCAGCCCCGCCCCTCCGGCGCCGTGGCCGTCGCGAGTGCGCGCCGGGCCGAAACCCTCGGCGCATGCCCCGGGAGCCCGCTCTCTTGCGACACGGGTTTCTGCCCGGGGCTGGCAAGAACGGTACCCCGAATGGAATTCGAGCAGGTGGGGCCGGAGGATCGCGCCGCATCGCCGCTGCATCACCGACCGATCGCCGAAGCATCGTCGATGCATCGGCGATGCATCCGCGACGTCGGCGGCGCATCCGCGACGCTTGGCGTGGAGAGAACTGGGCTCCACATCGCTCCGCATCGCCGATGCGGTGCGATCCTCCGACCCCATCGAAGGGCGGCCCTCCCGAGTGGATGACGCCCGGGAGGTTTGGATCAGGCGCCCTGAACATCTGGCGGCCAAGACCTCGTTAGAGACGTCGAGGGGCCCCAGGACCTCTCGACCTCTTCCCTGGGGCCTGCATATTCTCTGGCGAGTCGCCTTCCGATGGCCCAGGGGGGCCGATGCCCAGATGCCCCAAAGACGGTGAGCAAAACGTGTCCTTCGGTTGTTCAAAGATGGGGTCTTGAGGGATGGGGTCCTAAGGACAGGGGCATGAGCTGGTTTCACCGGCGCTGGTTTCGCCCCGCTGGTTTCGCCGACGGCTGGTTGCGTCAGCGCTGGTTTCGCCGGCGCTGGTTTCGCCAGCGCTGGTTTCGCCAGCGCTGGTTTCGCCGACGTGAGCCCTAACTGGCGGGTCGGGTCTGGCGTTCGGACCCTAGCGAGAGGGTCGGGTCGGGTCGGGCGGGCGGACCCTAATTAACGGGCGGCTCGCGTCGGGCGGGCGGGACATTAACGTGCGGGGCGCGCTCGACCAAGCACGCGCGAACCCTAACGGGCGGGTCGGGTCGGGCGGGCGGACCCTAGCAGGCGGGTCGGGTCGGGCAGTTTCGCCGACGGCAGCTGGTTTCGCCGACGGAGCTGGTTTCGCCGACGGAGCTGGTTTCGCTGGGCGGCGAAACCAGCTGGGCGAAATCAGCCGGACGAAACCAGCCGTCGGCGAAACCAGCGGTCGCCCAACAGGAATGGATCCAAGGGTGGATTCACATTGTTTGCGGCATCTCGTCCTCAGGACCCCATCCCTAGGGGCCTCCTGGATAGATGGGGTCGGAGTAGATGGGGTCGGAGGATCGCGCAGCATCGCCAATGTACCGGCGTATCGGCGATGCATCGGCGATGCAACGTCGACGTCGGCGATGCATTGGCGACGTCGACGTGCAGTAAAGCGGGCTCCACATCGAGCCGCCTCGCCGATGCATCGGCGATGCGGCGCGATCATCCGACCCCATCTACTCCGACCCCATCTAGGAGGCCTAGAATCCCTCAGGACCCCAGCCAGGAGAAGAAACAACACCTAAGAGTGAACTTTGGACGGTCCGCGTGGATTCCTTGGATCCGCGCTGAACCCCCTCCCTGGCGCGCGGTGCGCGCCAGGGGCGGCGCCGGAGGCGCCGCTGGGGGGGCCGAGCGCGGATCCAAGAAATCCCCGCGGAGCGCCAATAGTTTATGTCTATGCCGATTTCGGTCCTTCGATCAGGGGTGCATTTACATTGGTTGACCCCCGTCTCTTGGGCCCCGACAGCTGTTGTTTATGCAGTGTTTTCACCTTCGAGCCTGAGACCCAACCCAACCCTGAGACCCCAGGACGTACATTGAGTTTTTGGCGTGGGAACGTCGCGCCTTCCATGGCACAACCATCGAAACCCAAGAAAGCCAGGGCACCCTGGAGGCAAGCAGGGTGTTTCTTGGCACGGGTCTCCGCTGCATGCCGCTTTTCCCCAACCAGTGCTTGCACTGAGGGGTCCTAGTGGAAATTGAAACATTTGGCGAAAACGTCCGGCCGATTTTGGTGGCCGGCTGGGTTCCCGGGCTCCCGGTGCTGCGTTCCCGGGCTCCGGGTTCCCCGGTTTCTGGGTTACCGGTCGATCTCCTTATCGATCTCTTCATCGATCCCATTTCAAACCCCACACATGCGACATCCATGGAAGTCCCGGGCATGTCAACCGGCTTTCCGTCCTGGGTCGTTGTCTGACGGTCCCGAGGCCCGGCGAGGGCGGCCCCCCAGGGCCGAAGCCGGCCAACACCTCCCGCCCTGATTTCTGTTACGACGCGACCGTGTCTGGGTTGCAAACCATCCACTCGGCGGTGGACAAACCTCCCTTTAGTAAACCTCCCTTTAGTGCAAACGGCCTAGGACCGAAACCGACAGACCTGGATCCGCAAAAATAACGGCCGCGACGCCTCTTGCGAACCAAAAACGGCCAATTCACTAATCGACGTGTCAGGGTAGGAGGTCTATCCACCTCCGATCCACTGATTGGGGCTCTTCTCCGGTGTACGACTTCGACTCCGAAACGCGCGGCGCCCAGAGGTCTCTGCCCCCCGGTGGCGCGGCTTCGCGCTCTCCGAGCCGGGCTGGACGGCGCCCCGCGGCCCGAGAGGCCGCGGCTCCCGGGGGGCGGCTGGCATCGAGGGCGAGCGCCGCGAGGGGGCTCAGCGACGAACACACACACACACACGCACACACACACACACACACACACACAGAGGGACACACACTCACAACACACACACTGACGAATATTTTTCCTGTTAGGACCAGATGGCTGCGGAGTGCAACATGTCTCGCTATGCTACCTCCCTGCTGTGCTACTCTGCTCTAACCTACATGCTACTCTGCTCTGCCCTACATCAGTGCGCTAAGATACATCAAGTGTGTTATGCACCTCAACACCCCTTCTCGCGGACGTCGCCAAGCCCTCGCTTGGTGAGACCGCGCCCTGTCAGGTAGTGGAGTGTGGGTTCCACGGCGGGGCTCCCCGCACGGTGGTTCACGCGGGCCTGCCTTCGCACTCTCATAGGCGGAACTACCCGCACTACGCGTAGCACAACGGGGGCGGAGCTACCCGCTTCGCCTTCCGGCGCGGTGCTCCCCGCAGCCGCTGACCCAAGCCATCCGGCTACTGTGCCGTGGAGGTTACGCATCCCTCGCCACTTCAATGGCGAGCTTGCTCTGGCCACTCCGGAGCTCGAAACCGAGGTCTGCCAGATGCTGCCACATCGTCTTCCCGTCGACGTGCTTCGTGGGAAGATTGGCTGGATTGCTCTCTCCCTTGGTCTTCACAACGCTCAGGCGCTTATCGGCCACTGCTTGCTGTAGCCACAATGCCTGCGTGTGCAGGTGGCGTATCTTGCCAACGCCACGCCTCGATGCTATGCCGATGCCTGCAGAAGCATCTGCCCGGAGCTCGGCCTTGTATGTCAAGCCGTAGCCCTTGGCCATGAGGGCCATTCCCACAAGGCGCGACCCGGCCTTGAACATGCCGTAGTACTCCGACTCTCCAGAAGAAGTGGCTATCGGCTTCTGCGTCGTAGAATACGCTGCCAACATGCGACTGCCGTGCATTGTTGCCCCTGCAGAGGTTGACCTGCGAATGACCTTACACCCGGCATGGTCCGTGTCAGTGTACTGAATCAGCTTGCTTTGCTCCGGCTGACGGTGAAACACCTGCACGACCCGCGGCGCCGACACGAGATAGCGAGCGATCCTTTTGATCTTCTCCAGCGCGCTTCTCGTCGGGTTCTGCATCGCCCTTGCTGCCTCCTTGGCTGGATATAGCAACTCTGGTCGATCTATTGATTGGTGCGCTGTCCTCATGGTCACTGAACGGAAGAGGGTGGCTGCACTTCTATCGAGAACTGGATCGTCCTTCGGGTCCGGCACTGCGGTAGAAACACCAGGAGTCACCACTCCTTTGGAGTCCTTCCGGAGACCCATCTGCTCGACTGTGATCTGTGCGTGCCTTGGATCGCACTCCCACTCAAGACAATCCTTTGCAGTGTCGAGCCGAATGATTCGATTCAAGCATCGGACTTCCTTGTCGTCGTGGGGCCCCGGACCCAGCAAGCCAGTTTTCTTCATCTTGATGTGCTGCCGTATCTGCTCTTCCACCCAGAGGACATCCACGCGTGATCCAAGATACACGAAATCGTCTCCATGCACCCAATCCCTCACACGGCGTTTACCGTGTAGGAACAAGCATGGGCTGCTCAAGCCCTGGGTAAAACCAAGACGCTCGACCAGCACGCTCGTGTAGAACCGCTCCCAGTTGTGTCCTGCCCGGCGGGTCCCGTACATGCTTTTCAAGAGGCGCCAACACCACCCTGGGCGGTGTCGCTCTGGCGGCGCCTCCACGTAGATCAGCTCATCCGTGGGGCTGTGGAAATGGGCACGTGTAGCGTCCATGAACAACAACAACGTGTCTCCGCGCTGCTGCGCCTCCGCGTCCTCCCCTCCAGGCGCGGTCATCATCAAGGAGCATAGGAAGCGCAACGCCTCGAGCGGCGGTGTCGCTGCGAAAGTCCCCTCCTTTCCGGGATCCTTGACCTTGAGCTCCTTGGCGCAGAGGCGGCTCCGGTAGTTGGGGTTGTTCTGGTCCCCTTTGTTGGTGTCAGACCAACGGACGCCAATCGGTTTCTTTCCTGTTACTTGCGCGGCCTCTTCCACCGGAGCCCACTTGTACACCTTGAAGTCATCAACTTCTCTCAACTCGGCCTCGCGGGCCCCTTTCACGAGCGTGGGATCAAGCACACAACCTGAAACGTCGTCTACATACTGTTCCGTCGAATGATCACACCAATCACCCATGGAAGGGTATTCGTGCAAGTCCTCCTCCGGCTCCACGGGACAAGCGAAAAGAGGTTTGATCCTCCCGTCTGCTCTGAGCTGTGCCTCGAGGCCCTGGACGACAGCTGCGTCGGCCGGCTGTCCTGGACGAAGGGAAGCCATGCGGCCTGCTAGCTCTTTTCCGTTGGACAACCAACATACACCCTTCGCTCTCCCGAGGTACACCCGGTCCTGCCTGATAATCTCCTTTGCGCCAGCCAGCGTCCAGGCCGAAGTGTCACAATCAGGTTGCACGTGTAAGAAGTATCTCCCCTCCTCCATCCTCCTCCTATAAATTGAAAAACATTCACGAAGATGATGAAGAGGGTTTGAGGAATGATACATTGGTGAACCCACAACAAGATCTGGATTGCCGTCTTCGATCATCCAGAGTACCTTCCGCTGCTTCGCTGGAAGGCTGCAGTCCCAGGAACTGCCGTCATCAGGGTCCACTCTCCTGATGTCAAACACGCGGCCCCCCGTGCACCCTAACCACTCCGAGGTGGTCTGTCTGGCTGTGCAATCAGGCGCCTCCATGGCGCCCAACTCCCGCAGGGCCGTGCTGAGGAAGTCCACCTCAGCACTTGTCTCGGCCTTCCGTTTTGGCCTCGTGTCCTCCATGGGCGTGGCGTCGCCGCCCGGGACACTGGCAGGGGCGGTGCTACCCGCGTCTACTGCCATAGGAAAGCTTGGTTGCGGCATGTCGGCGTCTGCCAGCTGGGCCCCGGAAGCGGGGGCGGAACTACCCGCGCTCCCTGCTACCGGCCCTGCTGCCGCGGCAGGTGCGGTGCTTCCCGCGACTCTGCCAGCCCGTGGTGCTTTGCTCGCAGGTGCGGAGCTTCCCGCGCCCTGCTCGGGCTGCTGGGCCTCCACCTGTCTCCGGACATGGTCGGCCAAGGCTTCGGTGATCCGTTCGTCGGCCTCTCGGAAGCGTTTCTTGCCCTGGTCAGTTCTCCCGATTGCTTCCTCCAGGCGCCTCCTGCATCCCTCCGTGTGGTGCAGGGTCGTCTTCTGACCACTCACGTCCGCCTCGCAGCGCGGACACCTTCGTGTCCAGCCATGCCTCTTGAGATCTTGTTTCGTGATGTACAAGCGCTTTTTCGACAAGACCTCTGGTTCATGTCTCGGAGGATCTGGTGGCACCATTGATGGCTCTGGGACATCGATGACCACGAGCCCTGACGACGCTGGCAGCGTCGCTGCTGCGTCTCCTGGGACAGGGTCCAACGGCGTTCCCTTGACGGCTAAGAGCGCCTCCGCATCGTAACGGCTGCTCGGCGGCAGCCTACGAATGTCTGCCGACCTGCCCACGCCGTCCTTCGTACCGATGAAGAACTCCGGGACATCATCTCTACACCCCAGGAACACTCCTTCCAACCACTTGGGGTCAAGCTTGTTCAGACGGCCGCTGTCGCTCCGAAGTCTCCTATAGAAGACCTTCTCCCCGAAGGTTGGGAGGCCAAGCTTGAAGCGCTTGCCCTTTGCACGCTCGTACGGCGTCCTGCCGTCGGCGCCCTGCTCGTACCTGGACAACGAGAAACCAGCGAACTGCACCAGCCAGTGCAGAATGTTCGACCGGGGATCAAGAGTGATCTTGAACGCTCTCTCTGTCGCCACCTTCAGGGTTCTGATCATCCCAGAGATGGCTTGTATGGCTCTTTCGATCGTGCCATTGCTCGGTGACTCTCCAACCTTAGAAGGTTCTGGGATGACCTCGAAGTCCGTCCCCAGCTGGGCGATCACACTGTCTTTCATTGCGGTTATTGGGCTCTCTTGGTCTGACTTATATATGAACTTCGTCCTTCCCCAGTTCTTGATATCACGGGCTTCCTGCTTGATTACAGCCTCATGGAACCCTTTCTGGGGAACCACCCGCGCGGTCTTTAGGCGGGTCTTGTGGTCAACTTTCGCCAGGCATGCGAGTGCCTGCTGGTCAGAACCACCCAAGAAGAAGTAGTCAGTGGAGATCGTCGGCGTCGCGTGCTCTAGTTCTGCTGCGAGGTCTGCGTGGGCCGTCGCTGCCCCGCGCCCCTTCGCGCAGTCCGGGCACCAAGACCGAAACGGCAAGTGTTGCGACGCTTCGTGCTCCTCCACCTCTTTCGGTGTCGGGTCGCAAGGCGACCCCATTGGAGTGCAGATTTTACAACTGAGCTCCTCCTCCACCGGGACCTCTGCTCCCGGAGGGGCCTGTGCAGGCGGATCCCTGGGTGGACCCATGGGGTCGTCCCTGCTGTCTTGGGCGCCGCTGCCGGCGCTCTCCTCGAGGGCGGAGCTTCCCGCACCTCTCGCCGCTGGCCCTTGGTTGGGGCCACTGCTGTTTGCATGGGCCACAGGGCCCGAGCCACGGGCGGTGCTACCCGCACCCAGTGGCATTACTTCAGTCGGAGAAACATGTGAAACAGTGTGAGAACAAGTGGTATTAGGGGCTAGCTGCCCTCTTGGCGGTGAAACTTTGGCCTCCGACGGTCTTACGGCTGGACCTGCCGGAAGAAACCCATGGATTCAGCGACCTTCGACTCGACCACGCTCCCCGCGGGCACCTGCGTGCCCCCGGTGCTTTTTAGCTTCTGGAGCGCTGCGATCATCTGGTCTATCTCCATCGGGTTCGTTGCGGCCTCGGCGCCTTGCTGTTTAGGCGCGCTGTTCTTCTTTACCCACAACTTCATGAGGAATATCCCGTTGGCGCGATTGAGAGGTGTCCTCTGCTTCGTGCCGATGTGCTCCACGTAACTACCGTTCTTCTGGAGAACAACCCGGTTCCCGTGGTCCACGAGATCACTGGCAGCAAGCAGCATGCGGCGGACCGGCCCGACGCGGCTCTTCATGGACCGTTGCTGCCACTTCTCTGTCACGATCTGCAACTTTCTCCGGCCCTTGTCGGTGACCGTCTGGCCCCCTGCTGCGTTGTACTCGATGCCGCTCCCGTCGGGATCGATAGGGTGGTCGCTACACATCTCCTCTGGCATGATGGTGACTCCGGCGCCGCTGTCCACGGCTGCTTCTATCACCTCATACTCCTGGTCATACTTCGGTGAGTAAAGACCCAACACCTCCAATCCTTCCTCCTTGACTGGTACGTCTGGGATGTTGCATTCCTCCTCCTGTTCCTCCTCCTCGTGCTCCTCCTGCTCGCAGCACCTGCATCCTCCTGCTGCTCCTCCTGCTGCTTCTGCTCCGCACAGCTGCCTCCTCTTCTGCCTCTCTCTGGCCTTCTTCGGCGGGCGTTTTTTCGGCGGGCGTTTCTCAGTCGGCTCTGGCACGTCGGCGGGTCTACCCGCGCAGACTGCCGGCGGATCGGGGGCGGAGTCTCCCACTCCGCTGAAGACGCTGTCCAGGCTCTCGAGCGCCGTCCGGAAGATGTCGTCGAACAGCCCAGTGCCCTGCTCGGCCCTCTCCACCGCGCAGAGCTCGAGGCCCCCCACTTCCGGCTCCGGCTGGTCCTCGTAGTCCCCAGACGTCTCCATGCCGTGAAGCCCCTTCTTGCCGCCCTTCTTCGTCTTGCCGCCCTTGCTGCCTTTCGGCGCGCCCTTGCTGGCCTTGCCCGTGTTCGCGCGCCAGCAGTCCTTGCTCGCGTGCCCCTTCTTGCCACACACGCCGCATGGCTTGCTGTCGGCGTCGCGGCCTTTGCCGCTCGTGCAGTCTTTGCCCATGTGGCCCCACTCCCAGCACTTGTTGCAGTAGCCCTGGAAAGGCTGCTTGCCCTTGCCGCCAGACGCCTTGCCCGCGTCCTTGCCCTTGCCTTTGCTCTTGCCTCTGCTGGCGCCCTTCTGTAGGCTGCCGATGTCCATCGGCACTGGCTTGTCGAGCTGGCTGGCCCGGCGAGTCTCCAGGTACTGGGTGACCTCTTCCACGACGTCGTCGTAGAAGTCAAACCGGTTTTGGTTCAACTGCAAGTGCTGCTTCAGTGGGTTCGGGCACATGGAAATCAAGACGGCTGTCTTGATATCGTCGTCAATCGTCTTCTTGGCCCTCTGCTGGTATCGGGTGATATCCTGCGTCCATGCTTCGATGGCGCTGCTGAGGTTCTCCAACTTCTGCTCTGGCTGGCTCAGAACCCGCATGAGGATGGACCTCTTGCGCCCCAAGTTCATGGGGTCCCAGCGCCGGACCAACCTCCTCCAGCTCTCGAAGCCGCGGTACTTGTGGCTCTCGCAGTTGCGCACGATCTCTTCGGACTCGCCCTCTACCAGCTGCGCCAGCACGGTGTACAGCTGGTTCTGGATGCGCTCTGCGTCGGGGTCGATCTGCTTCGCCTCCTCGATGCCTCGGATCGTGTCCTCGTGGCTCTGCGCCCACTCGTGGAGGTCTCGCGCAGTCGGGTACATGCTGGATATGAAATTCATGTACTTGAAGCAGAAGGAGGGCCAGTTGTCGCCGCGCAGCGGCTGTGGTTTCCCGATCCCTTTCGTGTCGACGAGACGCGGCCTCTCAGAGGTCGTCGTCGTCGATGTCGACCGGGTACCGAGGCCCTCGAACGCGGCCATCATTCTCTGCATGGCTTCGTCCGCCCGCTGCTGTTGCTGCGCTAGTTGCTGCTGCGCTTGGGTCTGCTGCTGCTGGAGTTGCTGCTGTTGCTGCGCCAGGAAGTCCAGGAGCTGCTGTGGCACTGCCAGTTGTTGTGCTGGAGCTTGCTGCTGCGCTTGTTGCTGCAGCTGCTGCTGTTGTTGCTGCACCAACTGCTGCTGCTGCGTTAGCTGCTCCGTCAGCTGTCTCGTCTGAGCTGTCAGAGCTCGTACCTGCTCTTGGAGATCCTCCATCTCCTCTCAGCTTGGTGAAGCGCTCTTGGAGCTCCGTCGCCCGCGGTGCGCTCCTGAGGCGGCAGCGCTCTGGTGGCTGCCTCTCGGTGGCGGCGGGGCTACCCGCGCGGCCACGCTTGTCGGCAGGGCCGGCTTTGGCGGCGGGTCTGCCCGCGCGCCAAGGGACCCGGTCCTTCCAGGCCGGCCCCTTTTTCCCACCACAGGCGGAGCTGCCCGCACCGTGGCCTGGCCGCTCTCTCGGGGGAGGCGGCGGTCGCGGGAGGCCTGCGCGGTCAGCTTGGCCGCGCACCTCCCGCCAGCGTTGGGTATCTGGATCCCGCCGGCCACGGTGCGTAGGCATGAACCGCTCACGCTACCATGACGAATATTTTTCCTGTTAGGACCAGGTGGTTGCTGAGTGCAACATGTCTCGCTATGCTACCTCCCTGCTGTGCTACTCTGCTCTAACCTACATGCTACTCTGCTCTGCCCTACATCAGTGCGCTAAGATACATCAACTGTGTTATGCACCTCAACACACACACACACTGACACACAAACACACGGACACATTCGTTCACACACACGGACATTCGCACACACACACACACACGCACGCACACACACACACACCACACACGCACGCACGCACGCACGCACGCACGCACGCACGCACGCACGCACACAAACACACACACACACACAAACACACAGATAAACATCAATCCCACGATTCCCCACATCTCAGGATATCTTATTAAGTTCCTTCTTCCCCCTCCACATCCCACATCTTCAAATCTTCCCCTGGTGGGAATATCGACGATCGTTTGTTCCTGTGCCTCTCTCATTTCCCCTCCTGGCATTGGGCTCTGGAACAGCTCTTGCGTCGGAGGAAAGAAATGGGGACAAATACTACCCCTGCGGCCTTCGCCTTCTTCGCCGTGGCCTTGGCCTTGGCCTTGGCCTTGGCCTTCGCCTTGGCCTTCGGTTTCGCCTCCGGCGCCGGCTCCGTCTTGGCCGCCGCGGCGGGCGTCGGCTTCGGTTTCGGCGCGGGCGACTCCAGCGGCGGCGGGAACTCGGGGGGGGGGGG